TGTGATGAAGCTACAGTGAACTGAGAAAATTCATGATACCTGTAAAGTGCTGGGATATCATGGTGATATTACCTGTGTGAATAATTCAACAGATAGATTAATTTTCTTTTTCGCAATTGAAATTCCTGCTTAGCACACACTTCCTTTTATTTCAGTTGATAACGTTCAAATCACCTCTTTTAGCAGTCTCCTATCCTTAACCTCTCCACTTAAATTTATGGTTGGAAATGACAGAGCTGTATAAATAGATATTGCTTTGTTCAACTTACTCCACGCTGCAATCCAACTGGCAGGTTAGGGCCTGACTCCTCAGAGTCCCCAGAACAGGGGAGCAAGGGGAGCATTTCTACTCTTCCCATGAATAGATGACAGCTGAAAGAGAATGGTAGTTGCAAAATAGCATGCTTTAAGCAGCTGCTGCTCCTGCCATGGAAGAAGCATTTCTTGTTCCTCTCTTCACCATGGAGCAGACCTCCCTACTGCAGCGGGTACAGGGAAGGAACCGTACAACCACCACTGCCCTGAAGAAGTATGTCGAGTTATGTATTCTCAAGAACAAGGTCTGCTATTTTAAGGGCAACTTCATCCTCCTTTCCTACACCGCTACTGCTATTGATGGACTGAACTGGTTCCTACTCCATGAATGTGGAAAAGCCTTGACAGTAATTAAAAGTTTGTCACAGCATTGAATTGCCCTTGGTATGCATCACACTCACAGTTGTGGAACAGAAGTTGTTCTGAGTACATTACAGAAGTGCTCCTTAGGCGAAGGCCTTTTGGTCTCTGTGTTTTGGAAAAAGGCTGATTTGCAAAACTACAGTTTATGTCTTGTTATATACAAGAGCTGCTCCGAAAATAATGTTTCTTAATTTACTATGTTGGCCCACAATGTCAGAGGCAGACGTTGGTGGAATGGAAGAAGAGGTTGAACCTTCCTATCAATATTCTTGGTTACATGTCATGCCATGTAACAGATGGCAGCAGAGGGGCAGTCTGACAGAATGGCATCTGACATATAAGTGTGTATGAAGTAAAAGGGGTGTAATTGAACTCCTCCATGCAAAAAAAAAAAAAAAAAAAAAGGCACCCATTGACAGTCATTCATTCACTGATGCTTTCTATGCTTTCTGCATGTTTATGGAAACCAAACAGTGGATGTGAACACAGTGAGGGACTGGATGGTGAGTTTCAAGCAGTGGTGACAGCGAAATAAAAGACAAGCTATATTTTGGATAGCCATGCAGATTTTTTTGAACACAGTATGCAGACTCTTGTTCATCGCTGGCAAAAATGCATAGCTAGTGGTGGTGACTATGTTGAAAAATAGTGCTTTATAGTTGAGAATTTTCTCAATCAAATAGTGTTATTGTGCTCTTTGTAACTATTGCAATTTCCGCATAAATAAATAGGAGGCATTGCTTTCAGAGCAATACCTAGTAAACATGTTGGCCTTTTAGGAGATAAACAATTCCACTCATGCATACTATATTAGAAAAATAAGATGGTACAGTTTAACTTGTCTTCAGTTTATAGGTGGAGATGAATAAAAGCAAATACTAAGGCAGTTCCCTCTTAGTATATAAGAAGGCTGATCCCTGGCTTTTTTTGAAAACAGAATTGGTGACAGCTGGTGTAAGTTGCAGTCATTCAAACCATAATGGAAACTGTGAATAAAGTCAGAAATATGAGGGGAATGGAGGGCTGGGTTTGTGTGTTTTTTCAGATTTGAGAGTATCTACACAATATCAGTAGGAACTTGCAGATATAAAATAGTGAGATGGATTTGCTTTTTACCAGTGAGTCTGCTCCAGAGAAAGCACACATTTCTGAAAAAAAGATCACTGTAAGGTAATATAAAAGGATAGAGAGAAAATGATTTTTTATCTGCTACAATGTGGTCATTAATATTATTTTTTTAACTGTGATTAACAAGACAATAAGACAAGTGTGTCTGGCAGCCCAAGAACACTTTGTAGTTGATCACAACAATGTATCAGGAGCATGGGTGGCTAGCAGCGTTTCTACAACCTGCACAGTACCAGGGGACAAATTACACAGGAAAAAAAAGTCTTTGTCTATTTCTCAGCTTTCTAGTCAACCAAACACCCCATTAGGAAGCATCACATTTTGTTTCAGCTTTTGCCCTCCCCATACCACGTCTTTGATCCAACACTGTGGATAACTCAGTGTTTGAAGGTGAAGTGTAGAAAGTTGATGAGTTTATTCTGATTAAAAGACAATAAGGATCTGACTTCAAAGCTTTACATAAACAAAATAGTGTCTCTGCTCAAGATGACTGCCACCATGCTGAGCTTATGATTCAAAGCAGTGATTTTCAGTATTAAGGAGGAAATAGGATGACTGAGGCCGCTTCTGTCAAAGTGAGACACTCACTTTGAGCTTTCTGTTAACTTTCTGAAGAGCTTCTGTGTGGTTTCAGAAGAGAGAACAAACAAAAATAGTATTTCTGCCGCAACTGCATCAGTTACTGCAAATGACAGTGAGAGAGGAAAAGAAAAACCTTACCTCCTCTGCCTACTGCTCATCAACAGTATAAAGGCCTAGAAAGACTGAGGAAGATATAACATGAGATACCACTTCACTACCATCAGATCCAAAAGAAAGAAAAGCATCATAGTATTACATGCTCCATTAAGAAAAAATTATTAAATGTTATTCATAGGTGTATTATATGAAGTGTGTTGCGATAAAATCTGTGATAAAATGCAGAGCTGTCACACTATGAAATGAAGAGTATCTTGATCAGCTCACACATGAATTGGCAGATTACAACCAGAGTACCCTGTATGGAGGTAAATATCAACTTCAGTGTATTGTAAACAATTGTGGCAACCTTGAAATATCACTAAGTTTTCACCAGGTGGATCCCATGAATGCTCACACAGGAACAGAGAGAACATCATATGAAGTTTGTCAGGAACTATTGAACAATATGAGGCTGAAGGTGACAATTTCCTGGATCACAACATTACCAGAGATGAGAAATGGTGTCATCACTACGAGCCAGAGTCAAAATGGCAGTTCATAGAGTGGCAACATGTGAATTTCCCCATGGAAGAAAAATGTCAAGACTCAGCTCTCTGTGCATAAAGTGATGTGCACTGTCTTTTGGGATAGGAAAGTTGTGATCCTTCTGGATTTCCTGGAACCTGGATAAACCAGCAACTCTGACTGCTAACATCATAATGCTGGCTAAGCTGAAGGATCCAACTTCCAGAGTAAGGCCAGAGAAGACAATCTTTCTCATACAATCTTTCTTATGTCCTTTGTATAACTCCAGGCTCCACGCCAGTTTGAAGACCATAGAGCATGCTGTCAATCTTGGCTGGACTGTCCTAGCACATCCACCCTATAGTCCAGATTTGGCACCTTCTGACTTCCAGCTGTTTGCGCTGATGAAAGATGGACTGCATGGGCAACGTTTTCCTAGCACTGACACCATAATAGCATCTGTGAAATAGTGGGTCATTTCCACTGGTGCAGATTTTTATGAGCGTGGCATGAGGATCTTCTTCTTTGCTGGCAAAAGAGTATAGCTAGTGGTGGTGGCTGTGTTGAAAAAATACTCTTTTGTAGCTGAGAACTTGCTCTATCAAATAGTGTTATTGTGTTCTTCGTATCTCTTGTAGTTTCCATGGGAATAAATAGAAGGCACTACTTTTGAAACAATCTACGTACATCAAAAAATGAGTGCCTTTATTATTCCAGCTAGTTTCTGTCACTGCTGGAAGATACTAATTTGAGATCTAATGCGAAAAATAGGAGAAACAATTCCTTTGCTGAAAGGATGATGAACAAAACTGGTAAAAAAATTTATTAGAATAAGCAGAAATAACTACTTTTTAGCCTGCTAATTCTTTGGGACACTGAACACCCAGCTTCCAGTCTTTGTAGCCCCAAGCAGAAGGTATGAGAGAGAAAATCCTCAGCAGGGGAAATGCAATGTGACCTCACTGGGGCTTTCCTACAGAGATGATAACACCAGCTTTTGATCATGACAAGGTACCCTGCAAATATGCTAGTTAGCTAGGATCTGTTAAAAATTCTACGTTTGTGAGTGTGGCTTTCTTGCTATGGAGTGCCAAGATCACACAGAGTTGTAATTGCAGTACCAGTGGGAGAATTGTACAATATTTACTGGATTCCCATAACACAAAAATCAGGCACAAAGAAAAAAATATGGAATCCTGGGGTTCCTTTTAAAAGGATGAAAGAACAGTTTAACGCCCAAATAACACTGAAAAGCAAGAGAAGTTTGGCACCCAAATCTAACTAGGCTAAATGTTTATGTGCAGTCACAGGCTGTTTTAATTGCAAAAAAGTGGGAAGAGTCACAGACGAGCATGAATCACAAATTAAATACCACAAGATTAATTTGCTCCATCTAGAGCTTTTGTTTTAATGTAAACAAACATCTCTTATCCTGCTCAGCCTATTTTAAGACGGAGACTGTGCAGTAAGAAATGCCAGTGTGACAGAGCGCTGTTCGGAAGATGCTTATACCTCTGGGAGTGATGCTGCAAATATACACCATATTTATCAACTCCGACAGGGAGGAGTTGCCAGAGAGCTGGAGACACGGTGGTGGGTCAGTAGAGTGCCCTGTTCTGCCCGCAGGATGCGCGGAGAAAGCTGGCAGCACGTGCTCCATATCACACAAGCTCATCTGTAGGAGCTCTTGGTATTTCTACAGTAATGGGTAAATTGTCATGCAAGTTGGGGAAAGGATTTTTGGCTGGCTCTAATACTGCTTTTCTTTAGCAATTTGCCCACAGAGTGAAAGTGGCAACTGGCTGCTTCAAATAGGCAGCTGTTGCAACTGGTAGATGTCAACAGGAAAAGTTTTCTTGGAGAGGAAGAGCTGATGTTCACTGCCACCCTAAAAGCTGTGCCAGGAGAGCAACTTTCCCATAAAAGGGAACGCTGCAGCTCAGAGATTTTGCAGGAAGATTTTGTGACGTGCCTGGCATGGCATCTGCTAGGGCTCATTCCCAGTTGCAAGACAGTGCTGGTGGCTACCAGCAGAGGCCAAATTCAGCCGGGTGTCTCAGAAGCATCAGGGCAGCCCCTTTTAGCTCTTAGCTCAGTTCATGACACAGCCTGCACTTTAGAGAGATTCCTTTGCACTTTGAGCAGCAACTACTGAACACAGCAGCAGCATTCACCTCTTTAATTGATGTAAAGTCTTTGTACATGTCATTTTTTCATTTCAAGGTTTTGGATCTCTGAAGAGAGCTCACCTGTCTCCTCACTATAATATTCCTGGACTTCTCTTTTTCTATTGATTATTCCTCTATTTCTCACAGGTTTCAAAGAAGAGAAATGCATCATCAGTTTTCCTCTTGTGAAGCTCCCGAGAAAAGAAGAATTTCCTAAATCCCGAAGCAAAGAAGCATAAACTAGTGAGTGCAAAGGCAGAAAAAAGCAGTAACATTCTGGAGATAAAATGCAAAGGTAAGAGAAGGCTCCTGCGTGTGTTCTCTCTTCCTAATACACATAAGAATGTCATTGCAGTCTTTAATTGCTGCTAGAGGTGGAGAAAATAGAAAGGTTGAAGAAGCGCATCAGGAAAGAAATAATGGAAACCTGACCAGTGACAGGAGCTGATTACAGTTGGCAGACTGTATAGGTTTCAGATTCATGCTGTGACTTTGGAAATAAGTCCTGGCCGGGATGCATTTTTCTGGAATATCCCTAAGGAATATATATCAGTGATTCATCTAAGCAGCCACTGGATATCATTACTGCTCTACCAAAAATGAACATAAAATAACAATCTGGAAGAAATAAAAGAAACAAATGTCCCAGATTTTCTCTCAAACTGTAGCAAAGAGATCATAAGGGTGAGTAAAGAAAGGAGGGGGGAAGGAAGAGAGGGCTGAACTTTTCATCTGCACATCCTCAGTTTGCCTTTAAGCTGTGCACATCTAGTTTACTCTTGTCAGAAGCCAACACCACTGTACTTTGTAGCTCTTAAAGAAAGAGATAATTGCCTTTTTCTCCAGTCACATGCTCTCTAATACAGAACTTTATTTTTTTTTTCCTCAGTCCTACACAGTAGGACCTCCATCACTCAAAATAGCATAAGCTTTGCTAGAGATGTTAATGTACTAACCAAAGCAAACACAATGCAGAGGCTCTGACAGGTTTACATTTTGAAGTTCCTTCTAAACTCAGAATTTTTTTTTTTTTTTTTCTCATATGAACAGTAGCCAATTATAAATTATAGCTTTCTCTTAATGCCCCATCCCAGAAGTTCCTGCGGATGAAGTTTCTATCGAGAGTGTGCTGTACTAGGTTATTTTAATATCTCCGAATAGTTGTTGGATATTTTCCCTATCGTGTAGTTCAGCTAATACATACTAGTCATTTGGGAGAAAACAGAAAAAGGGAATTAATTCTAGAAAGCAAGAAGCTTCATAAGCTTTTTCTTCCTTTTTTTTTTTTATTCTCATGAGTCAAAGACATGCCAAGAAACATATTTTAAACCATAGCATCATGTACTCAGCTAGACCTTTAGCAACAGTTCACTAATGTACATCAGATGCCCCATAGGCTCTATATAGTTTAGCGACCTGCAAGTTTAAGTAGAAGACTGTTATTGAAATCAGTATTCTTATATATAAATATATAGCTGCTCCAAGGAGAATATAAATACCTACAGCAAACCAAATCCAGCCTAGACTCTCTGAACCTTGTAGGAATTAATTGCAAGAATTACACTTCGGAGCTTTTAAAGTAAAAGATAATTGCCTCTTTTTCTGTCACGGGCTTACTAATACAGAACTTCAGTTTTTCCAAATCCTCCACAGTGGGACCTCCATAAGTCAAAGTAATGTAAACTGTGTGAGAGATGCTAATGTTAAGCACTACAAAAATATTCAAATGGGCTATACAGTATTTCAAGTGTGAAAAAAAGCCTGTGGGTTCAGGAAATATTTCTTCACCCGATTCAAGGAGAACATGTAAACAGGATTTTTTAACCCTCCACAGTTCACAGGGGGCTTACTGCAAAGCAACTCAACATCCAATTCAAAGATGCAAACAGTCATCCCAGCCTTGGGGGACTACTCAAGTGCCCAAAGTTCAGCCTGTTTCTAATTAACTTGCAGAGCTACAACCCCAGTCAATAAACCAACATTTTAGTCACAGATAAACTTATCATCCCCTGAGTGTGAACAACTCATCCTTGCCAGGAATCCAATAGCAGCTGCTGCCTTACTCTGCTTTACCATGGGTGCTTGTTAGTCTACTTATTTTCACTCAACTATATGTGTCCTGTTCTTACAAAAACCCACTCGCATCGCTCTAATTCCTGCTAAAATGTTTCCCACACTGCTAGAAGGTCCACTGAATAAGAGATTAGGAAGAAGATCAGCTTGAGGATCTTTAGCTCTCCCCTTCCGGTACAGTACCTATTAACAGTAACTAGGTATATCATGCAGCATTGGAATTCCTAAAATAGCTACAGGCAGAAGAGACAGTGAAATGCAGAGAGCAGAGTGTTAACTCTCCTGTGAATTACTATCACAGTTTGCTACTAATTGAGAAAGCAAATAAAAAAGGTCCTGACAATATGCTCTTTCCTAGTGGGGGCTATTCTCATTAAATGCAGAATAAAAGGTTGCCGCCTCCCCTTCCAACTGCAAATCCTTTACTGCAGAGCAAATGTTTCTCTCCTTCTAAGGAGAAAAGACCCCAAATTATACTAATACCAAGCTAGAAAGCCAGCTGTATTATGCAGTCTCAAAATTTTTGTCTGACTTCATGGCAACTGGCAGTGAGCTGCCTATGTCCTTAGGAGCTGTACTCCAAATGTTGCCCATAGGTGTAGTTGTGCGAATCTGAATGAAAGGAATCATAAAATATCCTGCCAAGAGTTTGGCTCCTGGTTCTTACAAGTTCCCTGAAAGGAACGGGGCTTGGGGGAAAGAAGACCCAGGATAAGTGGGCAACTGTGTGTGCAGCACTGAAGGGTTAAGAGGATGGGGTGCAGGCAACAAGCAAGGGACCAAGTAAGCTGGAAATTTTCAAAAGGCTGCTACTTCCAAGGAAAAGCATATTTATTTAAAAACACTGCACAGGCATTCCTAGCCTTTCTGCTGCAATCTCACCTTCATCTGAAATGCAGACATCCACTTAAATTCAAAATACTCCTGTCTTCTTAAGATTGAGACTCAGATTAGCATCTCCCTTTTACAGAAGCAACTTTTACACTTTGAAGAGGTAGAGACAAGAAATTTAGTACAGTATTCTGGTCACTGGACTCCAAAAATTGGGATCACAAAGAGGTCTCCAATGTCTAGTCCACTTAGCTATGAGCCAGGCACAAGGAGCTGCAATTTCCACTCTTCAGATGAACATTCTTGTGAGGATGAAGATAAGAAGAATTTCAAAAAAGAAGGAAGCAGAAGAAATATGTTTTGTGGAGAATAATAAGATAGCCCACATACATTTCATCATTAAGAGTTCTGTTAGCTCCTTGCCTTCAGCCAAAGATTGGGAACACCAAGTTACATCACTTATATAAAGTGTCATGCACAAGACCCAGGAAACTGCAGTGTAAAGATGTTGGTTTTCTCTGGGATGGCAGTCTCACTTGGCAAGTAGGAAAGGGAGCAGTATATCTGCTGATTAGCTTAAGTAAATGCTACTACAGAACTCTGGCTTATTTTGTAACTTCCGTATATTGCTAGCTATTCTAGAGAAATATCTTTCACAAATGTCCTGGAGGCTTTTCATCATTTTCATTACTATGCTGCTATACGATTTTTCAAAAAAAAAAAAAAGTGAATGTGTCATTTAATGTGTTATTTGATGTTACGTTTTTTACAGTGACATAATCATTTAAGAGGTTCCCCAACCTCTTCTCACCCACACATACACATGTATGTATATATATATATATATATAAATGTATATGAGCATGCATATGTGCAGGTATATACATGTAATTGTTCATGGTTTCCTCAGATTTTCCACTGTACTCAGTGGAACTCACAGTGCTCAAATGATTTAAATAAAAAATGACCATAGCCAAAGTTAGGTTTCCAGTGACTTCAGTCTCAGTGACTGATAATACAGCCATGGGTGGTTCTGGTGACTGAAGTCTGGAGATACATGAATTGGGGCAGAGGTAGGAGTAATTAGACCCCAGATAGAAGAGAGAAAAATGACATAAACTATTTTGTGAAGAAAAAATGTAATGCAGATGTAAAACTTTAGCCTAAGGTGTGTAGAGCAGAATTCAGCCTTGTGTAACCTCTAAAATCACTGCAATCACATAAGGCTATATAAATCAAAAATTAGAGGCGATGGGGGAATGAAAAGCACCACTTTTTAGAAAACTACTCCAAACTGATCTGGTATTGCTTGTGTGGATTAATTAAGTTCGTACAAACATATATGAATCAACAGTATTATCAGAAGAGATGAAGATTTGGAATTAGTCATACCCCTGAGAAAGAGAATTGATGTGCTAGGGAGAAGGAGTGACCTGTGGTTCTCAGCATTATTTATCTGAAAAGTGAGAAAGATATGCCTGCACTGAAACCTTTGGTTGGAACCAGATGTGGCAGGGCACTGTGAATAAGAGGATAAGACACTGGTGTGTGCTGGAGTGGAACAAGAATGAAGTTTGGATTTCATCCCCAGATCTAAATTGACCTGCTGCGTGAAGCTTAACTCACTTCACCTCTTCATTTTCCTTTTCCACATTTGCCTTTCAGCTCTATTTAGGTGACAATTCCTTTGGGCCAGAAAGTCTGTGAGTGAATGCACCAGGATTTTGATGTATTAATTATTTGCATCACATTTTTAGCGCTTTTTATCCCATTGTGCTAGGTGCTGTGCAAGAACAGATTGCAAAGACAGTGAATTCTCCAGAGGTTATTAAAATATAAAGTATGTTCGTGTCAGTCTCACATGCACGTTATTATTGCTCAGCAACTAGCCTGCATCAGCTGAAGCATAGTTTCTGCTCATACAGGCACACTTAGTCAAGAGCAAATGGAAGATAATTCTTTTTAGCTTAGTCCAGAGCAAACAGGAATGACAAAATCACGTTACTTGGTGTTCTCTGCCATCTGAGAGTTCACACAACATTACTGCAGCTCTGGAAGCAACAAGAAACTGGTTAAATCGTGGTAACTTACACAGAAGGTCTGACCCCTACAAGAGGAGTGAATTGATGGATATAAACAGACAAGGAACTGCCAACAATGTGAGCTTCACACAAATAATAGTATTCATAGCCCAAGTAGAGCGCATTGATAGCAAATGCTGCCCTGCAGAAAAGATCTGTGAGACAGATTAAAGGGAAGATTGAGTTCTGTTGTTTTTTTTTTTTCTTCAGAAAACGAAGCATTTATTTATAAATACTTATGTGCATTTTGTAAAATACTCCCAAAGCACCCAAAATTTTGACAGAGCTGGCAAAACAACACTGGCTTCTA